GCGTTTTCTTTTTCTCCCCCCCCTTGTCCCCCCCCCCCCCCCCCCTTTAAGTGAAGGGTATAAATTGAAAGAAAACAAAACTACAAGCCTTGGTTTTATGGGGTTTAACTCTTGCCAGGCAAGACTGTTGGTATTCCTCCTCCAAAGAGAAATTACCTAGTAGCTCACCTTTGCAGAGCACAAGCAAAAAGCAGCAGAGAGTGGGAGGTGGGCGAGCAGCAGCCCCACGGTGCTGTGCAGAAGGGATGTTCTCCTTGCTCTGCATGTACAGCTCAGAGAGCACAAGGTGCCAATCCCCAGCTGAGCAGCTAAGTACCACCAAGGTAAAACTACGAAATAATAACAGCGACCCTCTGTGTACGCCGATGCCCTGTGCCCCAGCCAGGCTGGTCGCTGCAGAACACATGAATATTCCTGGCTTGAGTGCATGAAGCTTATCTGTGCGGTAGATGCAGGTCTCCTATCCTCACTCGATTTATGTTCACCTGTTTTACACCTCATCCGTATTAAAGGCTTGCAATAAAGCACACTGAAATGTGAGACTCTTTCTGGAGCTGTCAGTGGCCCCAACTCCAAGCTTCGGCTGCAGACACATTTCCCCAGCCCAGGGCTACTCGGGGAGTGCAGGCAGGCACAACGTTTAAGAGCAGCACCCACGGGCGTCCCTCAGGACAGGCACACACACACACATCCCCGCGTGCATATGAGTGCATCGCTGCGTATGTCACTGCAGGTAAATACTATGAGCAGAGGTGACAGTGCACCAGGGGACCCTTAAACCCTGCCTGCTGCTCCCCGGGCAGTGACCGGAGAAGACAACCTGCTGATGATGGGGGAGGCTGGGTGGAGAAGGGGCAGGTTTGGAGCTATGGTTTGAGTTTGGGGTGAGAGAGAAGACAGATTTGAGGACAGAAGAGAGGCAGTAGGAGCTGTGGAACCTGCCTCAGCTGATGGTCCCCGATGGGTCCACGGTGCTTTCTGGAGTTTGGGGAAGAGGCATTTATTGGCCATTTGAAAAACCTTAGGAAGTCACATTACAAATATTACAGTTGCTGAGTCAAGCACTTGAAGGTTGGGAATGTGCCTTTGGATGCAGTGGTTTTAATGACATGATGCTCTGTTCTTGAATGCACAGTGCTCTTTTTAAAAAATTTATTTGGCAAGGGGCATTTTTATTTCCCTGTGTGACAGCTAGCAGATTCTTCCCTGCGTTACCAGCAGCAAACCTATGCTTCAGAGCTGTGATTTCACCTTCCCAAAAGGATGAGGTGTATCATTATAGCTGGGGAACGGTCCAGAGGGCGGAGCAGTGAGTTGGACCATGCTGGCTCTGTTCCTGCTTTTGCAGCCGAAGGGCGGTGCGAGCTCAGACAGGACTATCTCAGCTCTTTCCCCTTATTTAAAGGGGTTTCTAAGCTTAGCAGATGTAGCCAGCAGTATATATGCCATGTTGTAATATTACCGGTCCCTGTGCTATGGCATCCTGGGGCTGGGCGTGGCGATGCAACACCCACCCCGGGGGTGCTCGGTGGGTGCCTCCAGGGATGGATGTGCTTGGGTGGGCAGATGGGGGGTGATGCTGCTCTCACAGTGCCCCATGGCTGTGCA